CACTCAAGTCAAACTGCTTTTCAACCTTTTCCAGCGTTTTTCGACTCAGTTTGATTTGTTTATCGCCGGAATATTGAGTGAATCAATGTCACTTCCCTATTTTTTACGATCAGTATAGTTCCGCATTCTTTGGTCTCTTTCCCAGCGCTGCCCCGATTGCCGTAGTTTAGTTCATTTGAACTATTGAACTGCCGCTACGAACCAGTTACACTGAAACAGATACCATCTTCTCGCCAAGTGACTAAAACAGTCAACACTTGAAATTTTCGCGGTGCCACGTAGAATCAAAGCGACCAGCTTGACCTTCGCCGGCTTGCGGGGATTGTTTCGCAGATTGCATAAACCGGTGACATTAACCACAGATGGAGTGCTCAGTGTAACCCTCGACCGCTCGATCAAAAGGGCGTCGCTGATTTGTGAATTTGGCTTATTGCGCCTCAAGGCGAAGACCAAGGAATGGCGCTTGCTTTTATTGTGATCGATCACTTGGATATTTCTAGATAGCCAGTTTAAGGTGGTCAGGTGCAAACTGACAAGTATGGAGGACATGGTTTGGCTAGGATGTGGAACATGGATGGGTTTTTAATCTAACTAAGGATCCCCAAACGATAGGTGGTGCCTGTTTTGATTTCTGGAAGCGTCGGATTCAGCTGGAGATCCCCCAAAAGGAAATTTCGCCAACTTATCATGGAACTTTGTATGTCGATAGAGTCTATAAGGTTATTTACAAATAAAGATAGCGAAACTGCAACCCACATTTCATAAGCAACTTATATGCAGGTAAAGTCGGTGTAGTAGGGTGAGCTTGGTGGTGAGCTGTGAAGCATATGCGAGGAATCGCCTACGTCGAATCGCGAGTTGTAGTGGTTCAGCGGTAAGGTTCGACGTTAGACTACTCGATGCTGACGACGACGACGTTTGCGATTCCTCACCTATGCTTCACAGCTCACCACCAAGCCTCCATCCCTACTGCACCATTACAAACCTTACTGCTCATAAGTTGCTTGTGAAAAGCAGGTTGCAGTTTTGCTACCTATATTTGCAAATAACCTTAGAAACTCTACCGATCTAAGCCAAGGTTCTCCATTCAAGAGTTTCATGGTAAGTTGGTAAGCTCCCTTCTGAGATGAACTGTCCTTTGCTAAGGACCCTATTAGAGCTCATCCCTATAAGTCATTACGCTGTGCATTTCACCTGTTTTTTGGAACCGAAACCCTGACTTCCAAAAAAAAGGAAGACCCAAGTAGGATGATTCTCGTTATATTTACAAAGCAAATGCAAATAGAAGTGTCCGAGCTAGTGAAATTTGGCTATGAATTACAACGTTAACGAAAAACCTATACTCAAGTTTTCTCCCGTCAAGTGAGGCACTGAGTTGTGTCTGATTAAAGTCGTTCGCATGTTAAATTGTAAGTGATTGCCCAACACAAGAGATAGGATGCTGTTTATTTTTAGTACACTGTTTGTACACCACTGCGTAATTAACGGCGAGTTCCGTCCTCGAAGAAAACTCCTCCGTCGATGGCGCAGTACTTGGGGCAGATTCCTGGTTCTCCAGGTCCACCTGGCTGTCCAGCTTGTCCGGGTGATCCTGGATTTCCATCGGCTCCAGGCTGTCCATTGGGTCCATTGGGTCCCTTGGGTCCGGGTTGGCCTGAAACAACAGAATTTGTAACCATGTGAATTAACGATTAATTGTTTTCGTTATTAAACTCACCAGCTGATCCGGGTTGTCCAGGCTGTCCATTGGGTCCGGGTGGTCCTTGAGGTCCAGGATTTCCAGCTGGTCCGGGTCCTCCGGGAACAAGTGGAGTTGAGACAGCAGGGGAACCAGGCTGTCCGGGGGCACCAGGGGCTCCTGGGTTTCCGTTAGATCCTGGTGGTCCCTTTGGTCCGGGAGCTCCGGGTTGTGCACCATTTCCTGGTGCTCCAGGTTGTCCGTCACGTCCAGCATCTCCATCAGGTCCAGGAGGTCCTGGGGGTCCGGGGGGTCCTTGTGGGCATGGTTTGCATGGAGGAGGAGTGACTGGGTCACATGGCTGCTGTGGTGGGCGTCCTGGGTTTCCTGGAAGTCCAGGTGCTCCAGGCTTTCCTGGGCGACCGGGCTGTCCGGGTGTTCCAGCTGGTCCAGCAGGTCCTGGAAGACAGCAAGAATCGCAGTGACCTCCGGCAGTGGCAGATCCTCCGCCGACACCAGCGTCACCGTATCCAGCCTGACGAGCGGTTCTGTTTCCAGCGGGAACATTCTTGAGGTGGTTGACTTCGTTCCAGATGTCCTTGGCGGATGATTTGCAGAAGCTGATCTCGTTGTGCATGGTCCTTTTCACGTGATGAACATAGTTGTAGACCATCGGGAGCGTGACGCAAACCGAAAAGACTGCAACCACAGAAAAGGCGACGGCCGAGTAGGCGACGAAGCGGTAAGCCTTGATACGGTGCTCGAGGTCCATGCTGACTGAGAGCAGTGTGGTTGATGGATTTTTTTCAGTTTTATAGTCATGCTTGAACTATACCAAATGTCTGCTGTCTCCTGCCCAAGAGCGCTCTTGTTCAGCTTATGAAATTTCGTCACGCCCATTTGAGTGTTCATCCAGCTTCTTTCCTTCCTTGCAGCGCAAAAACGTTACAACGGGGCCAAACAGACAATGTCATAGCATGGTGTGGTGTAATAAAAGTACAACAGTTTCCAAAATTTTTCATTATGCAGACAATCATGTGAGGAACAGATCAACGTCGACTATACATGAGAGGGTTTGAAGCGATTGCTATAGCCCTTCACTAGATTGTTTGGAAGAGCGCCAGCTTCACACAAAGGGCCCGAAGCACAAGACGCTAGCAGAGCTTTAGTGATCTCTGCGAATGGTGAGAAACTTGCTCGCGATGGAAATTTTCCTGAAGATATTTTTCAAGTATATCACGTTGAAACTCCATTTTTTTCATTCCCGCAGGAGCGCTGCCAACCTCTAGAAAGGGGAGAGCGGAAGTGAGAAACTTCAAGGGATTGCTTAGTATCTCACTAGATTGACTGGAAGAGCATGAGGATTTATACGTAAGGCTTTAGCTTCAGGATGTGGCAGTACTATTCAAGCATTCAGTACCATTCAAATTGGATCAGTCAGGGCACATCATTGGTTGGGAATCTACGAGTGCGTACCACCCCTTCCCCATTTTCGAAGCTTGGAAGGGGGGGGGAGTAAATAGCACATGTGAAACAGGGAAATAGCGACGAAAAGCCAACCACCCCTACCAGAAGGCCAAAAAGTGAATAAGATCCCCCTCACCACCCAACAGTGAGCAAGTACGACCTTCCCCCTCCTTTTACATAGTCCGTGAAGCGAGAAAAATCAAGTATCAAAATTAATTTTCCTCAGCCCAATTACGACCCTCCTCTCTTGGCGGCCAAATACGACCCCCTGTTGGGGATTCCCCAACGACGATGTGCCCTGGGTTCAGTATGTAGGTGACGAAATCTTGCGGAACTCTCCATGTCAAAATCATTTTTGGGAGAGGGGGGGGGGTCGTATCTACGTTTTGGCGTTGTGGGAGTGGCGGTTGACTTTTGGTGATTTTCCTGTCTCACGTACTATATGCCCCCGCTCCCCGCTCGACAGCAAAAGTGTTGGTAAAAGTAGGGAAGTCGGGGTCGTATAGTCGACTAAAGTCCCCAACCAATAATGTGCCCTGCCCTGCCTTTCTTTCTTCTGGACTCTCGTCGCTTTCGCGGCAACGGCTCTTGCTATTCGAGGTGTGAAATGCGAAATAGTCGAACTTCCCTTCCATCCACTAGAAATGGGCAACTTCCAAGGAATCGTTGAAGATCTAACATCAGTTCCAGCTGCTGTTGACGATGATAGTGTTCGCAATTTCAGTACCTCTCTGGAGCTGACTTACCAATACGAACCAATCTTGAAATGGTGCGGATAATGAAAGCGCTCAACGGATCCATCAACACCGACGTCGAGCAGTTCGAACACGACCGCTATCGTTTAATGGAGGTTCCTTTTTCACGCTGATGCTTCCTGCTGCACGAATGCATCAGTGAGCAAAAAGTCGCGTTCCATTTGAACTGCTATCACGATTTGAGATCCTAACCGTTCCCGAGTAGAGATTCCGATCAAAGCCGAGATTTTGTTTGTGAGAACTGGAGCGGCACTATTTAACCTTTACTGCCCCAATCATGCCAAAACTGGCCACTTTTTGATTGCCTTTTTTCTCCTTGGGCAGAATTTTCTGAAAATTCGTCCTTTGGAGTGATTGACCTTCTGAACATGAGAATAACATTCGCTTGTCACAAAAGCTTCAGGCACCCATGCCACAGGCGCCGGCGCCAAAATTCCTCAAATCACCGAATTCCGCGGAAAACCTGTTCCCAGGGATAGTCTGACCTCCTGAACACGAATAGCACATCCGCTCAGCTACCCCCTAGCGCCCGTGCCACAGGCGTCAAAATATTAGGTTAGTGCATAAGTTCTTTTCCCCGACTTTTTTGTAAATATCTCAATAGCGAACCAGCCTGAAGATTAGAGATATCCACCATCACCATCCACTACTCGACGCCAACGCTCAGGCAGCTTGTCGGTTCCATCGTTCCAGAAGGACGGGTGCTGGGACCCGAAGAAGGCCACAATGCCGCACAATCACCACTGTGACATGGTTTTGCTCTGGTAATTGTGTGGCATAATACGGAAGGATCAAAACGGGGGAGTGGGGAACCTATGCACCAACCTAATACCTCGAACCACTGGCGCCTGTGGCGCGGGTGGCAGGAAGTTTTGTGCCAAGCGGATGTAATATTCAGATTTAGGAGGTCAAACTTCTCTGAGAGACAACATTCCACCCAAGTCTGTTTATGGAGAAAAAAAACAGTCAAAAACGGGCTCGATTTCGGATGGTCAGGGCAGTAGATGATGAATAGTGCCACTGGAGTTATAGCGCAGGTGCCAAGCATTTCCGCGCCATGCTCAGTAGAAGTCGTGACACTTATGCTCAAAGAGTCAAATTCTCTTCAGTGGCATAAATGCAGCACTACCTACTCGCATTTGAAAACTTCGTGCATACATAACATGGGCCTGTGAACGGTCAGCGCCCAGATTTCGCGACGACGCATTTACGGCTCGCATCGACTCTTCACTAGTTGCAACCGCGCTATATGGAAAAAATTTTTTTCGCAAAAAAGCGATCTACATTACTCATTAGCTGATCTATCCATTGTGAATGACGCAGGCACTTTTGTGAGTAGCGGCAGAGCATTACTCCTCGAGTTATGGGTGAAGTCTCAAAAAAAATAGTTGCTGAACGCATGTGGGCAAACTCTACTTTTGTTTTCTTTCAGGGAATACATCCGCCTGCTCCGCTGTATAAATCAGCAATGTCAGTAGCAATTCCTCGTTTATCAGCGGAGCACATGTTGAGAAGCAAAAAAGTGAAAGCTCTGCTCAATTATCTTAGCCAAACATGGGTTCCAGATGAATCGTTCTGGACTACTGTAGCTGGAAATGCTGTTTGTGCGTGAATCATCATAAATTACCGGGCGTGGGACGTTCCGTACACGCTATGGCGAGGCGGGAGGACGAATAGTTGCAGAGGTCACGCGCGGAACATCAGGACCTAATTGATTTAAATGGCAGTGGAGTGTGTTGAGCCAGCGAGCTATTATGTTTGTGTCCCACGTGGAAAGAACGTCCCACACCCCTAAGTTCCACTCTAGATAAAGATTCATTTCTCAGACAGTGCAGTACTCCTTTATCTTCGTACACTCGAAATCCCTGAGATGTGGTAGGCGCGGCCGCGTACTTCAACTAATCATGGTGGTGGCCGTACCTTTGGTGACATAGTTTCATTTTGACACAGTTTTGGTCATGTCTCTGTCCAACGCAGAACAAGATGGCGTGTGTCTCAAAGAGAAATATCCCACGAGTAAAGCACCGTTCAGACTTGGCGGCGGCAGCGCTTCGGCTGCCGATGGCGCACGCTCCGCGTCGACCGATTGAAATTCCGCCCAACTTGTTCTGTGCCACGTTCATATGTAATGCAATGTCCAAATGCCACTCCGTCTCAGGGATGAAGAGCGTATATACTCTTAGGTTAGATTACTATGACCTGCAGTTATCACCTGTTATTACAGCAAGGCCAGGGAACGAAATCGCACTACAAATTTTGAAGGTTGTTCATAGGTTTTTAACCTAGTGATGAAAATACCTGGTTCGTATCGAGCTCGCGATATTCTGTGGCTTCGCAAACACCTCTTCGTGACACCTCCAAGCATTAATACTGTCGATCACGTTGGCACAAGCTACATCGGACGATACCAAGTGTGGGAGTGGCAAAAGCCATGCAGAGGTAAAGAACTTCCCCTTCAAATTCTTCGTGTTTTCTTATCGCATGAAACTCTTCAAGATTTTATTTGACCTCGTTTCGGGCCCCAAGCCCTTCTCCAAGTCTACAGAACAAACGATCAAATATTATACGTGAGCATCAACTCTGGCTGATGTATTCAAGAAACTATGGGAATACAAATCGCCAACAAATGAACGATTGTTATGGCAGATGTGTTTGGTCAAGGGAGGGACGATGTCGGTTAACCCTTTAAGTTACAACATGTCACGTAAATCATCCAGTCACATCCTACAGTGCGTTGATGATCTCATTGCTTGCTCGCAGTTCCTCTCAGTTATCGCCTGAAGGAAGGTCTTCTTCGTATTTCCAGCGCCCCCTTTATCTTCCTTCCCAGTAAGCTACAAACTCACCACAGAAGCTTCACATGCTTCTCACAACATAAACTGGTTAACCACTGCAATGTGAAGAAGCAATCTTTGGTCCATTCTCTCACTTACTAGCTTTACTTGTAAGGGGGATTGCTGCCGTCCTGCAGTCCGTCTCCAAAAGGTCTTGAGTGACAGCATCGTTCAGAGGGTGAAACTATTCAGTCGCTTCACCCACCTCTCCTGAGCTGAAAAAAGAATCGCATATTGCATTTTTGTTCGCTTAATTGTTTCAATCGGCACCTCAGGGGTATGGGTGTAGTGTATCAAACAGAATGGATTGAAGCGTCATCGACTAGTTGGACAGCTTCGTGATAGCTCCTCCTTTTTTTCCTCCACTTTTTGTGTACTGCGCATTGGTCTCATGCGCCAATGTTCCCAGTTGTTTCGCGAATTATGTTTGAATGGTTTGCTGACTCAACGTCCAGAGCTGCGACGTCGACCCAGCTGGAATCCCAGCACTATTTGAATTTTCTGCAAACTGAACTTCTTAACTCCTTCAGTCAAATGACAACGATCGTAGTCAACAATCAAAGGAGAGCGAGAAGGATCTGTGTCATAGTGTTGCCGCTTGTTTCATGCATCTGCTATACCTTTTTACGTCAGTTCCTGGTCACGTAACGTTGTTGCTTAATTTGATAATCACATCTGGTGGGAAGGGGAGAACGCCAGAAGTCACCGCCGCGCGGCAACCTGGTCGCGTGGCCCGGCGGTGAGTCTGGACCTAACATTTTGCCGACTTCTGATCAACGTGACCCTGTTGCAGTTTGCTTGGATCGTTCTTCCTTTTCCTCATCTTCCATCTGCCAAGAAGATGTCCAAACAAGTGAACATGTTCAAACATGCAAACGTGCTGAAGCATGTAATCGCCGCGCGCGGTGACCCACTTCCCAGCGCGGCGACCTAGTTTCGAGCGCGACGGTAAGTCCTGACACACAGTGATGCAAAACCTTGTGTGTCACTTCGCGTTTTCTCTCACTGACGACGCATTAATGCAAGATGCTGCACTTGCCTGCAGTAAGAGAGCGCTGCGACCTAAGACAGTGCCTCCTTTTGATCTTCTGCGCGACAATGAACGTGTCCCCAAGCGCAGCAAACGCGTGTTCAACTAAGACATCACAAGTAGTCCCCATAATGCTAGTCGTTCAACCCGATGCCGCTCGCGCATATCCTTGTATTTCCCCAGAGCAACACGATGTTCTGTATACGTGCTCCAGTTTGCAGGTCTACGAAATTCAAGCGGTTCTTGACGCTAAGGTACTTGCAAACGTAGGTTAGAGCAGAAATTTTCTTGCACATCCTCCAGCTGCTGTTAATTATGGTGGTAAAGTGTGGAATGTTCCTCGTAATCAGTAGCAGGAGAGTTCGAACGTCTCTCCCAGGTGGATAAAAGCACAGCCGCTTCCTTCTTCGTTACAACAAAAGGCCATTAGTGTCCTTGCGTAGCGTCCACGGTCGTACTTCCGCCTGGTGCCGAATGCTTCGTCGCTTCCCACGAACTACCCAGATCCTCAATTTGTGGATTAATTCTGAAGCACTCCACGCGTGTGTCTCGGAAGAATTGTACCCACTGAACCCTGCACCGACAGATCTTGAGCTGTGGTGCCTTGTCGTTCACCTTTCCCCTATCTCGCAACCAAAAATAGGAGAGCCAAGCATGTTCGACTTGCATAGGTTACTGTCAAAAAGAGTCTCTTCACGCTGAAACGTAGACCTCATTTCCAATGCGGCACGTTCTAGGGTTGCACTCCCAGCCATTTCGTGCAGTTGTCCTTCGAGACCATAGATCCTTGGCAGATTGGGCACAGTTGTTAAACATCTTCCCCTCGATAGCAGCTATTCCTGGAGCTGGAGCTAGAAAAGCGCTTACCTGGTGTCTTCTTCCTTCCAGTTTCCTCATTTCACCCAATCGTCTGCAGTTGATCTACAGGTCGTCGTACTCGTCCTTCAAAAAAAAGTCCATAAGTCCTTGCGGGCAGCTGCGTCGCTTCAGAGCGTTGGAAGCCGTAGCTTCTTGCGTCCACAAAAGCGTGAAATGACCTTACAGACGAACAAGCAGTTTCGCAAGATCTGGCTGCCTCTAACCGTGGGAGTGCTTCGCTCGTGCACTATTCCCAGAACTTCATCACTCCCAGCCGTGGGAAATCGCCTAAGGCGTCGTTTCGTCAGCATTCCCACGACCTGACAGCAACCAAACATGGGAAAGTGTCATCTTCAATCCCCATATTCAATCATTCTCAGTCATTTTGGTCGTTCCTTGGTGTTGTGGCAGTACAACTCTGACGCCAAAACTGAAAACTAATGTCTTCTACGTGATCAGGATCCTTACGCCGATTTCGACAAATGGCGGCGTTTAATGGTGTCAGCGCCACGAAACGAAAGCAATATTCGTGATCAGGCCAAGCAAGTGTGCATGTTCACATCGACTTCGGTGGAAAAGGTAGTGGCGCTCATTAGCACCACTTGGCGCGAGCTCCAGAAACCAATGTCAACATTGAAGTCGGGCCGCCGAATACCTCCACAGGTAGAGGTTTAGAAAACACCAAATGCTCAGGGTACTAGCGGTTCAATAATGCCAAATACCCTACTAGAGTACTGTGCCACACCCAACAGTTGGTAGTGTAGCTCCGCTGTAAGAGACGTTCTCGATTTGCTCACAATCGATGTTAGCGGCTTGAAGGATCGGCGTTGTAGAACCCCTGAAACGGCTGCAATTGGTGGAAATTCATGAGGCTTGTTTTGCGCCCTATAATTTGGGGGATTGTATTTTAAGAATCACAAGGAAGAAAAGTCTCAAGAGGTTTTCAAAATCATTTATCCTGCTTTATAGATGTTCGTGTAGGCTGATCTATCTCGAATATCAGTAATAAACACCGGTAATTATAAAATCTTTTCTGAGTAACCCCATGTTTGATGCTTCTTGGTATGTTATAAACAACCATCAGTCAGTATTGTTAGTCAAACCTGCTTTCAACTGCATATATTCAAAAACTTCCATTTACAGGGCGCATCATAAGCTGGTCTTGTGTATTCGGAGTTTTGGACGTGCCGGAGGTGGTTAAGCGACCAGAACTTGTCGTGCACAAGGTTTACCTCAACACTGAACCAGCAGCTTTCATATGCTTGCTTAAGGTATGTGATGGATTTCTTATTGAAAGACGTTATGCTCACCTCCAAAGACGCTCGCTTCCTTGTGGGAGGTGAACAGGTCCGCAGCTGCCATAGTGTGCCACTTTCTGGTCTCGAAAGTGCACTGAATGGGGTCTAGCCCCCACACGCTCAACGTACTTTGGCCAATCCTTTCTCCACATATTCGTCTAATATTCTAATCATCTACAAAGGAAGGGTGCTATTTGGAGCTCTCTCGACGGTTCCTTCTACCCTCTACTACTGCATGATACAGCACCATGTTTAAACTGCACTAGCCACAACGGAAGGTGTCTTCAAAAGGGTAGCAGCAGCATCGCGGAATGACGGAAGTGGAGTTCCAGGCGCCATTCGGCTTGAGAGGGATTCTACACTTCTGCTAATTCCTGTCAACTTACTCATTTTACCTTTGTGAGACCTGCACACTCTCGTCAAGCAATGCGATTGGGTGGCTTTACAGGAACTGACAGTTCTCCATAGGAGGCATCGGAAGTGATCCATGGAAACTAGTAAAACGCCTCCACGAAGCCGGGTTTTATTAAAGGCGCGGCCCGCGATAAAAAGCCCAGGCGATTTCGCAGAATTGTGGAAGAAAATCCGCCAAGTAAACCATCTATGAAGAGAAAATGCTAAAGGGAGCGTTGGGAACGCATTCGTCAGGCCCCCTCTAGCCTCAAAAACTTGTAGGAGTGAAAGACCGAAAAGATTGCGCGCTGGGACAATTCCCGTTGGCTGATTCCCAGTAATGAACCCTATGACTCTACCAGAACGATTGAATGCATGCACTCCATGATACTTGCCCGAGAGCATTACTTTTGGCTGGAAGGCCGACTTCGGAGGCGAAGTCTGGAGGCGGAGTCACTGGAAAAAGGGAAAGGGTACCACTGAAGCAACTTTGCTTCAATCCCTTACCGTACGACTTTCCGCTGCAAAAGTGGCACAGGGTAGTCCACTCCGGACCGCACTTCCTTCTCACATAACCCCTTGCATTTCCATAGGTCATCGCTTACCGCTCCTTCAATAGGAACTCTTGATGATTCAAGCTCCTTATTTTCAGGAAATACGCAGACGTAGTCATAATCCAACTGATTTCGATGCCACAAGCTATGCTGAGATTGCCAACCGTTGAGTTAAGTAATGGAAAACGGATCACTGAACTAAAACATCCAGTATGGTTGATGCGAAGTTCATTCTATCGTCTTGAACCTTTGGAGACGTTGTGACAAGCTGTAGAAAAAGAGTCAATAGGAACAGTGACAGCCGTCACGACAGTCTTATACAACTATATGCACTGTGGTACTGTGTGTTAGAGCATGTAGCAAAGGTCTGATAAGTTTGCAACTGAAAATCTATGCTTTTTTCATATACTCTAGGTTACTGTACACATTCGAGTAGTCCTACGCGTTCTACAGATATTCTCGTACTTCTGTAGTTTTTAGAAAAAGTTCCTTTCTGGATTGAGACTAAAAGGAATCTTGATATTTTCTCTCAGATGGAGCGCTTTCTTCAGCAAAATCCGAACTTTATAGACGAAGTGCATCTTACTTTATATCAGTTCCTTCCTAACACGTTTCACGCAGTGAATAAACTTTTGCCTGGTTCACGATAGGCTGGCTGGTCGTGGTATGGAGGAACTGGTGTGGGAGCCTTCAGAAGCAGGGTCTCGCGCATTTTCCGCGACGTCATTCCATCGACTACTGCCTCATTTTTTCGAAGTTAGGTCAAAGCCTTGGATTCGGCCGGAAATCTGTCGCTAGGGTAGTTTTGCTCCTTGAACAAGGCTATGACACCCGTTTGGCTCTCAAATGCTTGTGGTGGCGCTACGGGCACCCGTATGCAAATGGTTTCTTGTAGACACGGATGCACAGTACTGTAGGACCTACTCACTTAGGTCACGACTGGATTCGTAAATTGGATCATATGTGAGCTTGGAAGTGTTGCCTAAATTCTGAAATGACATCCCTCGTGAAGTCCAACAACTTTTTGCCTCAGAACGCGAACCTCCCCCTCACGCCTGTAAAACGAGCTTCTTACCAGTATACCATAGTGCCATCAACACTGAATGCGGTGTTATTCTTACGAATTGAGGGGCAACTGCACTTGATTTCGTGTCCTCTCGTTTAAACAAACCTTCATAACTTCGTTCAAGAATCGTTCTGCAAATTTTGAAGGAACGTTTGAGACCAGCGTCCAAAAATACGTCCAGTGCCCTATGTCTCATTAACAAATTTTCACCTCGACCTGGCTGACTTGCTACCATCTACCACCTACTTGCGGCACCTACTCTTTCCAAGTCCGTGATTTGTTTAATCAGGGTGAACGTATTTTGAGGGGACAAAACCATGTTTCTTCTACAAAGAAACATATACTCGAAATCCCAGAAACACTGTAGGCGTGGCTGGGTACATGAAACGTTGCGGTGACTGAGCTTTTGTTTGGATGTTTTCGTTTTGGAACAATTGTGGAACTCTGTCCAACACAGAACAGGATGTCACACGTCTCAACTGAAATACCCCAGACTGACTCATCCTATGCCACATCCAAATGTCACGCTTATTCCGTTTCAGGGGTAAGGAGTGCATGTCAGCGCTATTACCGCCGCAGTGGCGTTTCAACACATTCCCAACCGCAGCGAAGAAGAATGGGAGCCCACGAGTTTGGTGAATAACCTACGCTTTGCGGAGGATGCCGCTGTAATACGCAGCCTCCTGATACTCCCAGACAAAACCGGCACCAAATAACCAATCCCGAAAGATTAGAAGGCGTAGGGCTTAGTTGATTCGAATGAGCAAGGATTTGATCCCCTGGCCATGACCATTGCAAGCATCGTCATTAACCACTCCTTCATCTCCTCAACGAGTAATGAAGTACGTTTGAAAATTAATAATTTCAATCAAACCTCCCATTCTTCAGGCACGATTAATCAGAACCAAATAGTGGGCGCTGTTTGTCGACGAAGGGGGGGCATGCTGTACTATCATAGCTTCCTCAGTTCCGGTTTACATGTCTCACTCTGGCGAAACCTGTGAACTCTTGTGAAGCTGGAACAAGTAGTCAAGCCATCATGTTAAAACCTGTCAACTCGAGAAGAGGCTATCTAGATGGGCCGACACGTCGATGGGAAGTAACAAAAGTGCAAAATGCCCCTCCCCCCCCCCAACAAACTGCGCCAATATAGCGTAGGAAAGATCTAAATGCTGAATGCTTGGGAGTTTGGAGTCAGCTGTTCCAGAATTTAGTGCTGTTTGACTCAGGAGAACATTCTGTACTCTTGCTGGTTCCTTTCGCCTGCTCAGTCTCACGTTGTTAATTCGATCGAAGCAGTTCAAAAGATTTCACGGAGTGGCCTGCACAAGCTTTGCTGGACAAAATTGAGTGCTGCAGCAATGAGTGAAACAGAAGGAATTGAGTTGTTTCATTTGCCAGCGGACAAAAACGGCAATCATAGCGCGAGTTTCACCGCAAAAGGTCCGTGAATGATGAGCCGGAATAAGGATTCGGAAAGATGCGATATTGTGATACGGAATCTCGTTGCGATCTGCAGGTACCAGATTCTAGGCTTCCTGTATGCGATTTCACCCCTTTATTCTCTGGTGTATTTCCGCCTGTTCAAAATTCCTTCAAAATTTTAACGTATTCATGTACAAATACGAAGCACTGTTTTCTTATTTGTTATTTATGCTGTATATTATGATACGAGTAACTATGAAGAAAACAAGTGTGCTAAATGTGTAAGGATTAAAAGAATTTATCGAATATTTTCCACATCTGTGGTTAGCATCTTCATTTTCAGTCTGATTTCAGTTATGCCTCTGAGACACCTATTGAGACGATAAATTTGGACTGTACTACAGTATTCAATGGAGGACCCAACCTTATAAAATATAAGCGGTGGACTTTTTCGTATAGCGCTATCGAAAAGGAATTGTATACATCAAGCAACGTGTATGTGATGCACGAAATATTGAAATTCCTGAGCATGGAATTTCCTTCATAAAACTTTTTTACTAGTTCAGGGCTTTTGAATTCATAACTTCAGATGTGATACGATCCGGCGTTACTTTGTTTTTCAAGAAAAACCTCTATCGGATGAAGAAGCCAATTATCCATTATCTTACGGATTGCTCGTTTACAAAGATATTGTTCAGGTTAAAAACGACGGTTTCTATTCATGGCTCCTTCTTCGCAACATTTCGAAATACATATATAGTAGATTGATTGGTGGAGCAGAGGAAAGAACAAGAAAAAGTTCAGCCAAAATCGAAATTTAGGTGTTGCTTGAGCTCAGCATTTTCTATCATCCTCAGAATGCCTACTGTATAACGGTGGATCAAGGTTCGAGTCGAGAATTTAAGAACTTTATTACAAAACTACCAACCTGTTTCAATAATACAGCGACGTTTGTGAGTTTTCTTTTTATCTCGCCGCTTCGCTAACACTTCGATATTCCAACTTCAAACTGGTAGCAGTCACTGTAGCAACCCCTTCACATTAAACGAAATCGAAATCTTTGTTCCCACTCCCTTCTATACACTGTTCTTAACCTACACTCTATATCCCGCATGTGAAGGGGCGTGGCCATGTACTTCATCTGAACATAGCATAGCATTTGGTTTAGAGGAACCTTCCCTTTGATGCAACCGCCATCCTGTCTTGTGCTGGACAAAGCCATGTTACCGTAGTCTGAAAACGGCTATATCCAATCAAAAGCGCAGCAGACGCCAAGTTCAAACGAAGTGCACAGTCACACCCTCTTCATCGCAGGAATATAAGGGTTATATCCATGAGTTGAGTTGGCGAGTTGGTTCTGTTTGCCATTGGTTTTTATGATAGGCATTTTATTCTAAGGAAGTACTCAGAAACTGTATGCGGATCCAAGAGCAAGACACTGTTACCACTTCAATGTTAATGAGAGTGCGGAGCTCCGGATTCCCTCTATCACTTGCGTGTAACGGGGAACTCCGAGTATCGCCCTTTGAAGGCGCGTTGAATAGCGCTAACCGCATGCTCATCCTGCTTTCGTAGAGTCCAAGTCTCTGAGGCGTATGTCATAGGACCGCGGAATCGAAGGAGGGGTGTTGACAAGGTTGTGCGGTATTGAGCACTAGCGCCCCTGATCATACAGGGGAGGGGGCAAAAAAAGAATTTTCTTTTCCTTGACTTTCGAGGTGCTATGAGTTACACTTTATTAAATTCTTATCGGACATTTCTACCACAATATTGAAAAGCATATTAAATAGTATCCCGCCACAGCCTTCTGGAGGACCGCCATCGAGAGATTCTGCTACGCGATCGTGAGTGGGTGCCTAGTTCAGCGAGACCGTTGATTTCTCCGCCACTGTAGACCACCCTATTGAACTCCGCCGAACCAGGTAATTGAGGGCGTTCAGGTCCGGTGACCTGCTCGAATATTCCACTCTTCAGGTTATCAACACCCTTTCATTCCAAGTAGGCAAAAGCTTTCCCAACGCTCTTTGATTCCATGTGGTGTCACCCAAGCTTGTAGCAGGACAAAGTTTCCAAGAAGGTACGGGCGACAATACGTGGAGTGGATATTCTTCTTGAGATGCTCGATGTAACCGCTAGCACTCACCTTCAGTCCGGAGCCCACGAAGAAAATATCGGTCTCTCCATTCCAGCAACGTCCGGTCCTCACCATCAAAAGCGTGGTGCCTTGGCGACAGAGGTGGAGAATGAATATTCTGGACGCGTAGCGACGTTGACGAAGCTGCTCGATGATGGAGGGGCCCTCCAGATCGAGAGTACTGCTCTCCAGGTAGCTTATCCATGTGTGGCTCCATAAAGAAGTTTCGCAGCTGTTTGGAGGCAACATGAATCTGAAGATCTTCTCCAGTCAGGCTGCGACTGGAGATGACTTCATATTTTGGTGTACATGAAGCTGATGGGTGAGAGCCAGCTCCGGTCGCTGCTCATGAAGGAACATCTTGGGTATCTCCGCTCTGGTAATCGTATCCACGCTCTCTGTCTAGGCTGCGAAAACTTTGCTGATTATGTGACTCGGTCGAAATGTCTTTTTTGCCCCCCCCCTGTAAGTCTTCCGCAAAGAACCTTGCACCCGACCGGTTTTGAAAAACGCTCGATATCCTGAAACTTCCACCTTTGCCCAATAATTCGAAGTGGAAAACACGAAGCCAGTCATGCTCTTCATCACCAGGGCACGTACTACCGGCTGGGGATGAATCTGGCACATTACGACCGCCTCTCCTCCCCCCCCCCTCCAGTTTCCTTCTCGGATACACCTTTTCTTGTGGAATCCCTTTCTCTTAAATATATTCCATTCTACCTACCCCCTCTAGGTTTTCCTAATGATCCCCAGCGTAGTATCAAATAATTTTCGCGAATTTTCTACTCATCAACATTCTTGTTTTCGATTGGGAATAAATCGCTATGGGGCTCATTTGGTATACTCGCCAATGTCCACAAGTGCTTCGAATATCTGACAAATCTGAATCATCCATGGAAATACTATCAGGTTAGTAACGTTATAATCTAGTGATTTTGATTTCATCGTTCTCCTGAACAAATGGCCTGCTCGCTTGCCGATGCATAGAGAATTTTTCAAAAACTGATCATTTTTAGATACTTCCTAATTATTGCACAACTTCATATTGTGAGCTAAGGGTTTGAAAAGTCAAATTAAGTAACCAGAACTGGAAAATAGCAAGTGAAAGTTATAGCGGAATGGCTATCTTGATTGCAGTATCTATCGGGCGCAGACCTGCCTTTACGTACAAATCTTGAAATGGTGCGTATAATGAAAGCGTTGAATGGATCAATCAATACGGATGTTGAAGAATTCGAAATCGATCGATACCGAATGATGGAGGTTGTCATTCACTTTGATATTTCCATTTAAGTCGATATTGTTCACTCTTCATCCTCCTGGTTCATGCAGTAGTCAGGTCGCAACTCAAGAGGGATGGGCTGACCCCATCCCAGTCCTCACCACGATGTTCTCTTCCTAAATCGCTCACCAGCCGATCAGCATTGGTAGAGCAAAGCAGCCGGGGCGGGCCCATTCCGCCCACGCCACACCCCTCTGACTGGTTTTCATGCGAAAGCGCGCGGCGTCTGCTCCATGAACGCAGGCGTCAAAGCACCTCTAGTGAACCAAATTTGCTAAAAACCTGTCGTTATGGGTAGTTTCACCCTTTCAATACGAATCTCCTAACCGCTCTGTGCAAAAAAACCTGACGCGCGCTTCAAGAAAAACAGCGCCAAAACAGTCTCGTAGCAACGGTGCGTGGCGCCGACGTCTTTACCCAAAGGCGATGTGATCTTTGCATTTCAGGGGTCAGGTGCGTCTGCAGAAAGAATCTTTAATACCAAATTATGTTAAATTGCAGAAAGAGGTTTCCAAAGGATGCAAGAGACTATGGTATATAAAAAACTCAAATAGAAAACTGGGCTTTACCTTGTCCCGTTTGAGCAACTCAGGAGAAACTTGTGAGTTATACTCTCTGTGAGAGGTATAGTTAATAGCGTCGCAATCAGTCAGGGGCGAGGCGGGGGGGGGCTGCTTGAGTGGTATGGATTGAAGCCACACGCGGAGTTTCTACCACTGGTTGCTTTGTTCCTGAATCGATCACCAAGCCCACTGTTGGTAGAGCTAGGCAGCTGGAGGCGTGCTCATTCCTGCCCTTCTGGTCCCGCCCCGTCTAGTTGCAACTTGTCCAACTATGTAGTTTTCAAACTGACGCTTTTAATTCAGGGAATACATCCGCCCGTTCCCCTGTACAAGTCAGCCATGTCAGTGGCGATCCCTCGTCGAGCAGCTGATTTCATGTCAAAAAGCAAAAAAGTGAAAGCTCTGCTCACTTATCTGAGTGAGACATGGGTACCTGATGAGTCCTTCTGGACGAGTGTCGCAGGAAATGCAGTATGTAAGTGTCTAGTACTGTACTAGTTGAAGTAATAGGATCGAAGTCTCGTTAGAGTGGTAGTCGCCTTTCCAAAAGGTATGACTCAAAAGTATAAGTATGTATGACTTAAAAGTATAAGTATAAGTCATTCTACTCAGTGAGTAAAATCGTGGGCGAATGCGGAGAATTGGTAGAAATGTACAGTCCTCATCATTACGGAATGTCGGGGCGGCACAGCCGCGCTGCAATGTGATGCGACAGCGGCTGCGACTCGGTGACGCGAATCAGCTGATTTATGGAATGCGGACGCGGAATTCCCACTTTTCCAACTCTTCGAGCTTCGAAAGTGGAAGGTAGGTTATTCTGAACATTTTCGAATTGCACTGGCTTCCTTTATTTTTATGTCGACGATTATGTTCTTTTCCTTGTATTTTGCCTTTTTTCAGGCAATTATTCAAGGGGCTTACATTATTCCAGATTCATTCAGAGTCAGTACAATTTAAAATTGTTCAAAATAACTCACCTTCCACTTTCGGAGCTTGAAGAGTTGAAAATGCGGGAATTCGCTGTCGCATCACATTGCGGCGCGGCTGTGCCGCCCCGACAGTTCGTAATGATTAGGACTGTAGAAGTTTGTGAATAAAAGTTTCGTTAACTCGATAGCCCGGAGGTGGGGAGGGCGTCGCTTTACTTCGTTTGAATATGGTACAAGTTGTGTTTATCGCGGGATCTTCCGTACAAGGGAATCTTTGTACTGGGCAAGACGAAAACGTGAACACGGCAACGTCGACAATACGTCTCAAAACCATAATATCTCAACAGAAGCGCAGCCGCCGCCACACTCAAGTGGAGTACGCAGCCACGCCCTCCGCATTTTCGTGTTGTGAAGTGTACTTGTTTTTCAACAGTGATCAAAGCTCCTGGTTCATTTCGTGCACGCGATATTCTTTGGCTTCGTAAGCATCTCACTATGAGTCCACCAAGTACTCAAACTGTCGAAAATGTTGGCACTAGCTACATAGGACGATATCAAGTATGGGAATGGCAAAAACCATGTAAAGGTGAGTGAGGCAAACCTTTTACCTCTAACTTTATGAAGCCTTTTCAATTTGGCTGCAAAAACCCCTACCACTTGAAATTCTTTATACAAATGCAGGACGGGTAGCCAGTTGGTCATGCGTGTTCGGAGTGCAGGACATGTGGGAGGTGGTGAGAAGACCAGAACTTGTTGCTCATAAGCTATATCTCGATCAAGAGCCAGCTGCTTATTTGTGCTTACTGAAGGTTACTACTCCATCAGCATTCACTGGAACTTCGAATCTTTTGGAAATCAATTCAAATTTCGTGTGAATTATGAAGTTTGTTTTAGGAGATACGTAGGCGAAGTTACAGCCCAGTTGATTTCGATGCAACAAGTTATGCCGAAATGCCTACAGTAGAACTGAGTAACGGCAAACGGATAACTGAACTCAAACATCCGGATTGGCTGATGCGAAGCTCATTCTATCGTCATTAATTTATTTATATTAATAATGCTCGTTGCAATAAAGCTGTCATAACTCCAACATCAATGAGTTGCATTTTCTTCAAGGTATTCTTTGGCGTCTTAACGACCTGCTTGACTATTACTAATAACAATCGATCCTGTACGGGAGAATGTGGTATGAGTCTCACTGCGTATCCTTGTACGAGCTCCGCGTCAGAAAGCTGTAAGGTAAATTTGAAGGGTGAGGTTGTTTAGGTGGTTCCCCTAATTACAAGTGACTCGGCCCCTCGCTAATGTCTATCATATCCCCTGAATGGATGCGCTCTCGCCCTTCTTTCCCGGTGCCGAAGCGTGATAAGTCTGGCTAAGTATGTAGCTGGTAGTGTGGCGTGTTGCGTGCTGCGTACTTTGCGTGCCGTTGGAGTTCCAAGAGGCATCCATCTACCACTACCTTCCAGCCTCATAACTGTGCTTTTTCAAAAAACGAAAGAGGCGTGTTTCTTGTGCAGCTGCTTTCACCTCGCACACGCAAAAGACCAGAATCCTTGGAGGCGAGAGCACAGCTCTCTTTTATAATTACCCGCTCAACAAAGGGACCTCATAAGGGTAGCTAGTTCACGGTAGCCCAGGCGCGCCAAGGTTGCCAAGTAGAATGCGATGCGCTGAAACATTCGAAGGAATATTACAGGACCTTCCGAAATTCTTCGAGTTTCTTGAAATAAATTTCGCTGCACCCTCAAGTTTTTACAGTATTTGAACTCAAACAAGGCTTCACACCAGCACAATTCGACCAAACACCAGAACGAAACACCAGGTGTTTCGAAGAAAGACTGAAGAAATGAACGGCACAAGGTTCGCGAAAAAGGAATCCACGAGATTACTTTTACTCCCACAGGGCAGAAAAGAAGACTTTGCACGCTCTACGACCACAGGGACGACAAATGATCTGGGTGTTCGGAAACCCCTAATTAGAGACAGACTGGACGCACTCCTGTAAATCCTGTTCCTTGCCATGTCTGAGGTGAATGGGTTCGCAGCTGCAGTACCGTGCCACGTTCTCCGCTCGGTAGCAATACGTGGGTGCGGTCTCCATACTCCACCCGCGCTGCCGCACGGCCAGCCACATGCCTAACTGTGAAGAAACGCGCTGTTTGTCTGAACCCTGTCCCATTCTGTTGCTCTCTAAGGAAGCGCACATACATTGTTACTCCAGCGATTCATTCGCGCGACTGCAGCTGACCCCGCTTCTCCTCCGGCCATCGAACCACAGCAAAGTCGAAGCAAGTTCTTCTCTGGTTATTGTCAGATTAGCAGTTGAAGCGGACCAAATATTAGCGAGAAATCGTGGTCGATCCGACTGTCTAGAGTCGTGAAGTATGAATGCAGCCTAACGCCTGCTGCGTGTTCCGCAGCGGCACATCGGTATCAAGGCAAGTGCTGCTCATTTAATATAGCACGAGCGGTGTACGGATAGGCACCGGCGTATCCCCAGCCTCTACCCGGGTCATTTCAAGCGAAGAGCGCGGCACGCTACAGCAGTTGCGGTGCCACTCATTCCGAACATGAAGCGTGCCGTACTCAGAGGTGAGTGTACAGTTTTTTTTCATATATACTGTAGTTCATTGCGGACGAAGGGGCGTGTCACGCAGCATGAGTGTGCCACGGTGAAAAAACCTGTTCTCTGCCAGTTGTTGAAGCAGGTACGCGACAACACTTGTTGGGAAACGAGTGAAACGATCGACATTATAGTCTTTTCACTTGCTGGCTTCAACAGCTGGTGGACAACAGGTTTGGCACCGCGCCAAACCCATCCCGCCTGACACGTCCCACCGTCCGCAGCGAACTACACTATAAATGGTTGCCGAAAGCACTCGATCTTGTAAGGATCCAACTTTGAAGGAATTGGTCAGTACATTTATTAAGTGAGTTATCTGGAACATCGAAATCACCGTTTTCACAACAACTCATTTGAATGCTTATTACAAACGATCTATGATCAAAGTAACATCAATAATATAGAAGAAATGATAAACCATACAGAAATAACATTTTACATGCTGATCATTATACTTGTTGTAACAAAATAATATGACTTCGTATATATAATCCCAACAAATCCAACAATTTCTAGGATCGTTAAAAACATTGTAATTTATCATACAGAAGACAGGGTTTGCCCAGATCATATACACATAATGAGATTCATTTGAAAAAAAAACGATACAGAACACAGAGGTTTGAAAAACATCCACCAACTGAACAGGGTGAAATTTCCCAAAAACTATCGGTGAAAATATTGATGAAATGTGAACGATATAACCCTGCTAGCTTCTCGTGCTATGACAAACCCTGAACACCCAAGTGGGAAGAAGTTTTGTAGTTGAAATCAAGAAACCATCAATATACAGAATTTCAATTTATAAACACCGAACACACTCTAAAGAATCACCACAAGAGCGGTGACTAATACCCGCGAAACAGTCTATCTGGCAATATCGGAATGGAACAGAGAAATCGATTATAGGATAGCGAGAGGTGTACTTAACAAGATATATTATATCATATGCTACAGGTAAGTACAATAGATCAAAATGTAGAATACAAAACACAATGTAAATATCAAAAATCACGTGGGTTGCTGTTGTGCTTGTGTATGATAATCCTCTGTAGGAACATACATGTACTGTTCATTGGCATTTGTTAACTCATGTGGCTGGAGTAACCGGCATTTACGAAGCCGCTTCCATTCTCCACTTTGATAATCCATCTGAAAAACAATCGCATCATAAAAACGAGGTAAGAAGAAAGTCACTGAAAGCCATAGAAGTCTGGCGTGACATACGGAAAAACCCCTTCGAAGGCTTGTCCCACGTTAAGTTGATGCTCAGGCCCCTTCCTTGGACATCGCCTCCCTGTAGAGATGAGGATGTACTAATTTAGCAGCTCAAGGCCGTGAGGAAAGCGCCCCCCGCTCGCGACGGAGCCGCGGTCGCCCACTGGCGCGACGACGCCCAGCCATATTCAACTGCTACCTGGTGGAGCGGTATAGGTGAAAGCTGAAAAGGAGAAAAAGCTGGCCAATCACGCCCTTTCCCTATTATGCACGTCCAAGCGCAGTACAGCATGGGGTTCTATATGAGGCATTTCCGGCGGGTTCTTCTGGCTTCTCCTTCACTGCGGATTGTTTAGTACCTTGCCGTTAGAATTTGAGCCGCACAACCTCTCATTTTTGAATCAGGTAGGCACTTCATAATTCCCTGCATTTTCAGTACAACCACGGCAAATTTAGCACAGGCGTTAAACAAAGTCTAGCAACGATGTTCCTCTAAATATATCCTACTGCTTTACTTTGACATTGAGTTTCGCTATGAGACATCTGCAGACTGGGCAGTCCCTAGTTGCAGGAGAGAGTCTCATTTATTCCACTCGGAAGAAGGGCCAAAATGCCCGCCTACCATTCCATAGGCGACGAGCAGGTCACAGACGTCCAACACGCCTGAACATAATCACTCGCTCTACTTGTCTGTGCCCTCTCACGTATGGCTGTAGTGCTATTATCTTTACAGCACGACTTTGGTAGCATACCAACACGCTCGCTATAAGGTTGCGTTCATACATTGCGGAAGCGTACGCCAACGTGGGAATTTAGTGTACGGTATTGTATAGTAGTGCGGTCAGTCGCACACGCCGCAATTCCACGACGATTAATCGAGCTGTTCGTTACTCTCCTACTCTGCCGTACTCTCCAGTCCCCGCCGCTGGCAAACGCTAGCGATCGCTAGATCAATACCTACACTTTCCTTGCCCTCGCTACGCTAGCGTGCGCTAGCTTATGGTAGCGATGGCAAACGCTAGATCGATATCTATCCTTTCCTTGTCACTGCCGCTTCCGAACGCTGAATTCGCTAGCTTACGCTGGCGTATGCTGCCGCAAGGCATGAGCGCAGCCTTAGAGCGAACGTGTTGCCCAGAAGACCGCGAAGAAGGTACTTCTACGCGACTTCACATCTCGAAAAACTCCAACACAGAAGCTATCGTACAAAGACTTAGAATCCGTAACTTACTCGACGCTCGAACCCCTCCAAGAGCTTACAGAAATGGCCTACTTTGTGGTGCTTCCTTTCGGGGCACCTCTACTCAGTTACCCAAGCTTTATTTAATGAGCCAAAAGTATTCGATAAACCCGAATTTAAGCACTTAACACAATTTGAAAGAAGATAACGTAAGCGGAAGCATCTAGCTAAGCCATACCTGGAAGAATGTTTCCACTTTCATCTTACACATCTGGTTGTCCGCTAAGCCATCCTCAATTGTCTCGGAAAGTTTCATCGTTATTATATGGCCAAGTTCGGGACGAGGATTACCTGCAACTTACGCTTACTTTATAGACAGTTCTCGAAATGAAGTATCATGGATAGTTGCTGTTCAGTTATGAACAAGTAGCTGATAAGTGATTCCCCAAAGGAGAAAAAAGCAAAATAGTCCTCATGAACACCATATACAAAATCGCTTTCTGCAGTCACACCGTGAGAGCGTGGAGTGTCTTTAAACCAATATGAACAACACCGTTAAATTGGACCAGTTTGGTTAAACACAGGGCACATCATTGGTTGGGAATTTTCGTCGACTCCGTACGTCACCTCCCCTTTTTTAGTGGGTTGGTACGACCCCCCCCCCCCCAGTTCCCTCCTCATCGAGCAGTCGAGCGGGAAGGGGGATATATGGTACACACGAAAATGAAAAATCACGGAAAGTTAGGCAGCCTCAGAAGTCAGAAGGAAAACACGACCATCCCTTTACAACTTCCGTGAAAGAAGACAAAGTAACCATCAAAAAAAATTTTTCTCACCCCAAATACGACCCCCCTTCCCCAACGACCAAATACGACCCCCCCTGTCAGAGAATCCCCAACAACGATGTGCCCTGGTTAAACAACTTCGCAACTTTTAAATTTTGAAACGTTCGTCAACCTAACCGTCACATATCCCTGTGGACCCGCTCATCGAATTCGAGAAGAGGATCCTATCTTTCAGATAGTAGCGGAATATGAAAATGCAGGCATATATCACAATCATCAAACGAAGCCAGTGTGAATGTTTACGCTTATTCGCTGCGAATGATGGGCGTATCCACTAGGTTTGGCACGGCGCCAGCCCGTTTTTTCCTTTCGGAAAGCGAAAAGACTATTAGAAGACCACAACGGCGAAAAGACTAGCATGTGGTGCGTATCGGTCGCTTTCCACCAATTATGGCCGCCTCCCAGCTTCCACAACTGGTGAAGAATAATCTGGCTCCGTGCCAAAGGCAACCCCGATTAAAGACAGCTCCCGCGATAAGTCTCATGGAGCTGCTTTCCAATTATGAAACAGTAGCTGATAAGTGATCTCCCAAAGAAGGAAACAGGCAAAAAGCGTCCTCCAGAACAACATAAACAAAATCGCTCTCTCACAGTCACATCTCCCTGAGGTCTCTGTGCAATCCCTAGGTCACAAATCTCTCTATCACATCTCGCAGTAGTTGATATCATCCAGTGCAAAAAAAATAACAGAAAGAAAACAACAAAAACACAGAGGAAAACTCTTGAAAGGAAAAAGGGATTTTATCAACACGGTTTCAGAATTTGGGATTACGGTGGTTAGCTTACGTGATTTGTGCGTCGAGGTTTTGCATCACGAAAATTGCGTCACTCGTGCTTTTTACGCGTTTCACCTCGCGAAATGAGTTGAATTGAATGTATATACCTCCAATGAGTAAACTGTAATAAAGGGGAGCAGAATTATCCATGGGCATTAGCAATGCCCGCCGCCCCAACTAAGAACAACTAGGTGGCCTCCGTCGGAGGACATCTAGCAAGTAAGGCGGTCCAACTGAGCAGGCGTTAGAACTAGAAGTTACAGCGGCTGTAGTTCGCTTCTCGCTCGCTGTGGAGACGAATAGAGTGCGACAGTCTCTAGCTTGGGGGCTGTACTACTTGCACAAGGAGACCATGTTACTCGAGCGCGGGGGCTGTCTTTGAACGCCAAAGCGCCCGCACAGAACAAAGCAGCAGAAAGTTTGCTGTCAACTCACACTTGTTTCCGGTCATGAATGCAATCACCAGCTGTCTACCATTCTGATCCAAAGAGTTAGCGTTACGAAGCATCTCGTTACATTGGTTCATTATTGCTGCTTCACGAGCCTAAATGAAATTAGAGATATTTGAGAGATAATAAAAAAAAATAACAGAAACAGCAATGATTCTAAAAAAATAGCAAACTCACTCTTTGTGCAGGTGTTCGCTGATCTCGAACGGGAGTTGCAACCCAAACGGTACCAGGATAACCCGGAGGTCGGTGAATCATTGAAGGCTGAAAAAATGGAAGTAGGAATCATTAAAGTAGAACGTTGGGTCGAACCGATGTGACAAAAAAAACCATCGCATTTACTACCAAATTAGGAGGTTCTCCATAAGGCAGCGTTCAAACTTCGCCACAGCGTCGATCGCGCGCAACTGTTAAAGCACGGGGTATGCAATCTTGAAGTACGGTGCAGTGTAGTTGTGCGGTGGATTGCGCACGCCGCAATTTCACGACACCTAATACAGCTGTCTACTCCATTCCAGTCCCATACCCTCCATTCCTGGACACGTGGCACTCGCAAGATCGATATCTATACTTTCTTAGTCACTGGCGCTAGAATACGCTTGAAACGCTGGTGGTGGCTGGTGGACGCTGACGCCAAGTACGAACGCAACGCAGGAAGGAAGCCCATGGAAAAAAATAAAAAGAAATTAGCACGGTGCCAGTTTTGGGTGCTACACAATTGCCACAATTAACAATCTTAGAATAGTTCCTTCTTACTTCCCCCCCCCCCCCGTAGTCGCGAGACCATTTTCGTCCTTCTTTCAGACAATCTTAAACTTTTCTTACCCACTCACAAGGGGTATGATAATATAATACAATTGCAATCAGAAGTGTTAGTGGGCATGGCGAGCGACGCCGCTTCGGACAGGCGAGTTGTCCTGCCTGGCCATTAGAATGTAAGAGTCAACGGGATCGGAAAATTCGATATCGCTTGTCATGCACTCTTCTCCCATAAGAGTTTCCCTGCTGCAAACTGATGCACATCGAGAATTTGCCGCGTATGGCAGCACGACACGCAGCGCGCGGCGATGCGGCCAATCACGATTGCCTTTCCCGTCTCTCTTACGACGCACACACAACCCCGAGCCAAAAAAATCACATGACCTCTGAAACCACAATGATAAAGTACTTTTCCAGAGACAAATTCTCACCTGCTGAACTGGATGTGCCATATAGTGTTGTTGGTGCTGTTGTTGTTGCTTGTTGTTGTTGCTTGTTGATGGTGATGATGCTGTTGTTGGTGAAGAAGATGTTGCTGATGACTTTGTTGGGGTTGATCACGTTGTGGCATCCGATGAATCGATCTCGTGACATATAAGGATTTTCAGCGCAGATGCCGCAACTTGGCTCCTGCTCCATTTCCGGCTGTTGCGTTTTCCATTTCTTCAGGATAGCTTGTTGAAGGCATGGACGTTTCTGAAGATGACTCCTCAGCTGCTGCAGATGTACTAGTATCAGTGACCTGTAAGAATGAAGTAATGGAACAAACAAAATAGAAGGCGATAAACCACAAGACTGCGAAATAACATACCTGATCACTCCCATCTGCCTGTCTCCTGGTTTCGGACGCTTTCTGAACGAGATTTCTTCTCATTTTGTTTCTTCGCATTCTCTGGCATTTTCTGTTGAGCAGCTTTTTTAGCACACTGAAATAGTTATTCCATTTGCGACCGACGAAAGGGAAGGGTGTTGGTGAAGAAGATGTTGCTGATGACTTTGTTGGGGTTGATCACGTTGTGGCATCCGATGAATCGATTCTCGTGACATATAAGGATTTTCAGGCAGGATGCCGCAACTTGTGCTCCTGCTCCATTTCCGGCTGTTGCGTTTCCATTTCTTCAGGATAGCTTGTTGAAGGCATGGACGTTTCTGAGATGACTCCTCAGCTGCTGCAGATGTACTAGTATCAGTGACCTGTAAGAAATGAAGTAATGGAACAAACAATAGAAGGCGATAAACCAACAAGACTGCGAATAACATACCTGATCACTCCCATCTCCTGTCTCCTGGTTTCGGACGCTTTCTGAACGAGATTTCTTCTCATTTTGTTTCTTCGCATTCTCTTGCATTTTCTGTTGAGCAGCTTTTTTAGCATCCTGAAATAGTTATTCCATTTGCGACCGACGAAAGGGAAGGGATCTCACGAGTCTATGCATGACATACAGGAAATTATTATATAAATAGCTAGGCCTCTTTATACTCACAGCTTAGGGACGTCTGGCGCCGAATCGTGGACCTAGACCTTTTGGGCGCTCCATATTCAAAAACAAGTTATGGGATTGACCAAGAGGACGTTTATAGCCCTACAAGGGTCCCACAGCTGCAGCAGCGTGAGGCATTGTTCACACTCGCGGTCCAGCGTTTCTCTGAAACGTGGCGGTTCGGCGAAAAAGCTTTCGATACATATCAACTGGCGGTTGGGCGAAGAGCCTGGCGGTTGGGCGAAAGGTTGGTACGTATCGACGGGCTGTTTCGCCAAACCGCCGACGTTTTTCTCCTTCGACAAAACGCTAGCTCCATTGCGGTGGCGTTTTTCGCCAGCGAAATCGATACACATCTACTGCTTTTCGCCCAACCGCCCAACCGCGGCGGTTGGACGGTTGGGCGATTCTGCGATCATGACTTTTATTGTTTCTCCCACACGACGCCGTTTCGTCAGGGCCTGGCGACTGTGAACAATGCCTGATCTCTCCGCTCAAAAGTGCACGGGAACAGGGCTGTAGGGTAATGATGCCCGACTGTCGTCTCCATGCCCCGCTTGCGCAATCTTCGATGAGCAGCATTTACTCTTTCATGATCCCGCAGCAAAACACGCATCGAGTGGTAGAGAACAGCCAGAGGTAAGAGGGCGCAGACAAGTTATGCGCTCGGCTAGGGTTTGACTTTCTACCCTCAAACACCTCTAGTACAACCCCATATCACCGAGGTACCTTGAAACATATGAGGCCAGTTCTTAACTAGTTGACTTGGCCACAAGACCGCATTCCACATTCGGCGGTTGGGTCCTGGCGCGAATACCGCGAACGCAGCAATTCATTCAAAGCCAGTATAGATCCATTCTCAAGTGTTCTTTACGTTCCAAACCAGATACCTCACGGATGGACGAACTACAACACAGGCAGAGTTTGCACAACTGACCTCTTTTTCCTTTATCCTCTAGCGCTTTCTTCTTTGCCATTTCCTTCTCTTCTTGTTTCCTTTTCCTTTCCTCAATCAATTCCATTTGACGTCGCTTTTTGAGAGACTGAGGTAATTCGCAAATATCTTAAATTTGTGGGGTTTAAAAATCGCAACGGTGCACTGCGATTCTAAAGTCTCAACAGAATACACTAACCTAACAGCTTAGCTCCACCCTCACGTTTCGACAATTGACGTTGGAACTTCTTTGGTTCATATGTGAATCCCGAATTCAGTTTACATGGGTTTTGATTAGGAATCCCCTTCATAGGCACTGAAAAGGATATTGTGAAATAGTGAGCGCTACATTGCAAAGAGAATAAATCTCTATTCAAAAAAAAAAACGAAAAAGAATTCAAAATCGAAAGCCTCACAATCGTTGTTCCCAGTCCGCAGTGTAGAACGTATCTTAATAGGTACAGACGCACTCCAAAGCCCACTATTTCTTTCACGATTTGCATCAACCAGTTTTGAGCATTCTGTAATCAGAACCTCAGACCGCACTATAGTAATTTCAAGCACAGGGTGGAAAACGGAAAAATACAAAATCAGTAAGAAATCATTGTAAACTGGAGTCATAGCTCATATAAATGGATGTAAGGCATTGTTCACAGCCTGCGACCCAGCGCTTTTTCATAAAGAAACGCTTCGGCGAAAAGCTTCCTATACATATAAACTGGTGGTTCGGCGAAAGTCTGGCGGTTGCGCGAAACGCTTTTGATATGTATAATATAATATAATAAGTAATGAAGCGTTATAGTCAAGTGTAATGCGTTAAACAACTTGGTTTTCGTCCTAAACAAGTATCTTTATGCTGATGTATTTGCCACTATTTCATAAGGGACTCCGGGCTTCATAAGCACCTACAGTTGGGTTTATAAGGTTTACCTGATTTTTGTTAATTTTCGAGCTCTGAAATGGAGGGTCAAGTGGAAGTCCACGAAAATGAGCATTTTTGACAACTTTATCTTTTTACGCAAAGCGCTACAGCAGCAGAAGCTCGGTTAAGAACGTCAAGAAGCGATGCCCCTCAGACGGACTCAGAACTATCTTATGGACAAGACCAAACTCGCGCTAGAGCAGTTCGCGGACGTCATTCCTTGCACAAGTAGTCTGCTCCCAAGGGTGCGCTTATACTTTGGGTCAGCGTCCACCGGCGTCCACCAGCTATTAGGAAAGTATAGATATCGATCAGAAGAACGCCAGCGTACAGCAGCGTTGTCGCGGGCAATTATGCTTAAGTTCAAAATTGCCTGCGAAAAGGTTGCTGTACGTCGGTGGACGCTACTTTCGTAGAATATACCTATAGTTCCCTAGTCCCTCGAGACGCTGGTGGACGCTGGCGTTTGCTAGATCGGCATCTATGATTTCCTAGTCGCTGGTGCCAACGTACGCTCGAAAACGCTAGTAACCGCCGGTAGACGCTGACGCAAAGTATGAGCGCAGCCTGTATCTCAAAGATTATACTACTTTCGCGGCTATAAGCGCTGTGACTCTCGCGAGTGGCAGCTCTGATGTCTCACTAGTGTTCTGCCCACAGAAACAAGAAACTTCTATGTCCTATCACGAGTTCTGTTTTACACGTTTCCCGTTTTTTTTTTCAATTTTAGACCATATTAGCAGTGGTACGAAGTCTGGAACCAGGGGGTCCTTAGTGTGTTCTCCATGATCTTTTTCTTGCTCTTTTCCTCCCTAGAGAGGCACTTACTAGTGGTTAGTGACTACAGGTTCGTTATAGAACGCCACTCCCCACAATATGCAGTCTTGGGGTTTGTCTTTAAGGTTCTTAGGTCTTAAGCAAAGACGTTTCACGAGTGTTTTGCCAATTTCTCTTTGGTGAAGGTGAAGACACCCAAAGGTTGGTCTATAGAAGTCATTTAATCATTCAGTATACACGACAGCGATATTCATCCCAGTGGATCATTTTGCACATTTGTTCATTCCTCAAAAACAGAACGCGACACCGATTTTACCACGAAGTAAGCTTTTGTGTCAGTGGCACGCATACTTTTTCTATGACAGGAAAGAGATAGAGAATGGGTGGGAAAATTGTTAGTGGCCAGCAATTGGGGAAAAGTCGATATTCGAACCGTTTCTAAAAACCATTTATAATTGTGCAGTATTTCGCTCATGATATATCATAGAATTGCTAATGATATTCCTGGTAAAATAATATGCATTCAACATTTCCCCCACTCTTCGTCACCAATACTTTGCAGAAAAATAAGTAAGTTAATACAAAACATTCCACAGGAAAATCAAACGAATGATACCTGCTGTGCCATTACCTAATGAAATTCCAAACATTCTTGAAATCGGTCGTTTAAAAGTTTATCGATCAAAGTCCACTAGTCAAATTCAAACAACTGCTCGTAATCTGTTGACGTACTGTTTCTTGCACAAAGCATATTTTTTATCTTTCTAACTGGCGATATGGTGAAAAAAAAGCAAGGCGAACATAGCCAAGAAGGCAAAAAAGAACACGGGGTAGGCCAAAATGTCGCTATTCTTTTGGTAGTTTTATCGCCCTTCGATGTTTTATACCAACGAATCCCACAAAAGCCACAGCACAATAAATATTTCGGTTGGGTGGCCACTTAATTTTATAACTGCTCCTACATTGCGGTCCGCCGTAATGCGCGCATCTCCGGATAATTTTGTTTTTTTCATTAGTAACTCGTCAAAAATTTTCCACCACTTTTCGATCGCTTATGAGTTAAGCATCTTCCGTAACCGAGAACATTTGATAACATTAGAACATGAAAGAGAAGCCACATCATTTTGATAAAACACCACCCAGAGACGAAATCATGTCACACCATATGTGTCACGCGGTCCGGAGCGTGTTCAACTTCGCGACACCAATTATAACTCATCCTCTCTAGGATTCTTTCCGCTGAAAAGACATCCAAGGCATGTATTCCCACCGGTGTCCGATGAGATTGAGGCCTGGACTCTTGCTTGGCCAGTTCTTCATGGGGACGTTGGCCCCTGTTTGAAAAATTCAGTACTTAAAGACAGCCCCCGCGCTCAAGTATTACATGGTCGTCCTTCCTTGAGCAGGTAGTTCAGCCGCCAAGCTAGATACTATCTCACTCTCGCGACTCCTCAGCGAGCAAGGAGCTAGCTAGAACCGCTCAAAGTTCTAGTTCTAACGCCTGCTCAGTTGGACCGCCTCACTAGCTAGCTGCCCTCCGACGGAGAGCCGCTCAGTTGTTCCTTGTTGGGACGGCAGTCATTAATCGGAACTGCATGTACTTTTTGCTGACCGCGCTGGTGCTCGTAGATAATTCTGCTCTATTTCATCACATTTTACATTGGGAATACGTACAGTAAACAGCAACCCATCTCGTAAGGTAAAACGCGTAAAAGTCACGGAATTTCTGTGGTGCAAAGCTCGACGCACTTCATTAAACTTGGTGCAAAGCTCGACGCACTTCATTAAACTAAAACATGCTCGCTACCGTAACCCAAGGTCCGAACGCCGGCTTTTACTTGTTTCGTTTCCATTTTCAAGAGTTATTCCTCCATGTTTTCTGTTTTTTTTTTCCTCGCATATCGAATGAAATATCTCACTACTGGAGATGTGACAAAAGTGATTTGTGAGCCAAGGCTGTGCACAGAGACCGCAGGGAGGTGTGACTGTCAGGGCGCGATTTAGTTTATAGTGTCCTTGAGGGCTCTTGTTTCTTTTTTCCTTCACTGAGGAATTACTTAAGCTACTGTTTCATAATTGATCAGCAATCATCCTTGACACTTTTATCGCGGGAGCTGTCTTCAACGTATAAGTTAGAGATATTTGGAGTAATTATAAAACTTCAGTAGTTTCAATTTACTCTATGCATTGTCTGTCTGCGTATACAAAGACTCTGGGTCTAATGTGTAAAAAGACCACCGGTAAAACCACCCATAGTGCTATTTTTGGTTTACTCCCATTAATTCCAGTACTGTATGTATAGATTACTACTTTTACGCGCTTGCCATTCGAACAAAGTAAATATGTATACATGTCTGTACTTTGTTACGACGCTCGCTCAAGAATTCTGTTGATTAAATGGACTTCATAAAGTGTTTCGTTTGCCGCCGCTTGAAGAGGCAAAGAAAAGGCACAAAAGGGACTCTCTGCTGAACTAGCAGCAATTAATTAAATTCAACGTGCATGCGATGCAAAACAAAAGAACGTCGAGGCAAAACATCCACTGATTCGAATGCAATAATGAAGAATTGAAACTTATGCATATGTAAAGTAGTTTTGGCTGCGGATGAAGGGGCGTGTCAGGCGGGATAGATTTGGCGCTGCGCCAAATCCGTTTTCCACCAGTTGTTGAAGCGAGCTAGCGACAAGAGCGCATCATAACGTCCGGGTCAGTCGTTTTCCGCGAAATGTGTTGCCTGCCCACTTCAACAACCAGAGGAGAAGAGTCTGGAGCTCTAACTCTTCCGCTCTAAACCCATCCCGTTTGACATACTCCGTCATTTGCAGCGAACAAGACTTGAACGCGGCCAAAGTCAAGGTAGCAGCTAAGTGAAAAAAAATAAATTGCCTCGAAAATGAATAAATCAGCGAGGTAAACAAAAAAGAAACCCAGCTAATAAAAAATGAAGGGCAAACTCACGCTTCATCATATCGTTCATGAGGTTAAAGGACTTCGGCTTCTTGCGAAGAATAAAAGATTTTTGCATTTCCGGAGAAGGACCGAAGCTAGTCTGAACAAAGCTTGTGGTGCAACGTAGACCCCAAAAAAACAAACAATACAGACAGCGAAAACAGAAAGTTGTAAGTATGCAGAAGGAAGTACTAACAACAAATAGAAAACGCAGTTAAATAATCACCTTGTTAACTGAGTTACTGACGATATTGTGTCCTTCAGGCGTTAATTTCAGATCGCCATTTTCAAGATGCCCTTGGACTGTAAAAAATAAAGGAATATGATGATTCAGCGAAAGAGAAAAACAGTAAACCAAACGACGTACAGCATTTTGTCAGATCATCTAGAGTCTTCGCAAAATGGGAGTCTTTGTTAGTACAGACAGGTATGATCACTCCAGTTGAAGGCATATCCCTTTGAAAAATAATAGTGGACAATCATAAAACAATTCTCTCCTCCCAAAAGAATTTTAAAAAAAAGTAATAAAAAGTTTTGGGTACCTGTACATGTCCGCAATTGTTTCAACCCAATCATCAGCATCTTTACTAGCTAAATCGAGTAATGTAAGCAGAGCAGCGTGAACCTACAAAAAAAACGCGTTAAACATGAGGATGGTAAAACGAGCCAAGAGGAATTATTAAGGAATTACCATGCTCAGTTTTCGTGGATTCATGTGAGGAATGCAAGAAATGATTTTAAGCTTCGTTTGGACATCAATAGCCTTAGAAAAATATTTAAGATTATAAAAGTAGCTGAAATTGAAGTGAAACGATTATCACACACTTGAAAGCAAGTTTCTAACTCTTCAAGCATTTCTCTGGATAACATAGAAGCAGTCATGCGCCCTGACCAAACTCCAGCGTCACTGAGCTTCTTTTCCAGCCAGTTCACCTGAAACAAGTAAAAATTAATTTGAACCAGCTATCGATAGTCAGTTATTCATCTCACCAGATCCATGTCTTTCAGCACGGACGTTTGCGATGTGCTCGGAAAGAGGGTACCCCCTCTATTTAGATCTTGCATGGCTAAATAAAAAATAAATAAATAAATAAAATAGTTCCAAGGTGAAATCGGAAACGATAGCAAATGAAAATTCATTTCAGACGTAGTGACACTATCGAAGTCTAGTTGTAGGGCCGCGAAAACCTATTGAGAAAGGTTGCACGTACCAGAACAAAAGCGTGCGAGCTGAATAACACACAATGACAATTTCTGAATTAATCGATTTTGGCAAAATAGGACTGCAACATATTTTTACGAATTTTGGTGAAGTGCAGGAGAAACCACCTGATTAACAGTTCTCAGAAGGAAGCAGAAATCGATCAGCAGCGTAATCGTTAAATAATGAAAACTAGGCTTGGAGCACGCACTACCAGGAAAAAAGGAAAATTGAATTCTGCAAAACCCCGCTCAAAAATTTGACGAACAAGATACACATCTCTTAGTGAAAATAGGTATTGTACCACTGAAACTGGAAATCAGAAAAAAAGAAGCGCAAACACATGTAAAAATATGCTCTGTAAAAATACCGCCAGTAGCTGTGTAGCTGCGTACAACGATTGAGTACCGTACCTACGCCTTTTCTTACTTGCCATGCATCCCTTTGTGCGTGAAATTGGAAATCCGCAAAATTTACCTCCACATGGAGCGGTTCACAATTACGTCCCTGTTAAAAGTGAGAAGGTCCATCGCGCTATCTTTTTTTCTGATCATGGTGAACGAAAACGTACTGCGTTGTGAGCAGGGTACAGGATTGTTGCGCGAAACTCATTAGGGTCTAGTATTTGGTCGTTGAGGAAGAGGTCGTATTGGGCCTCAAGAGGAATTCCTACGGCTATTGATTTCTCTTACTTCGAGCACACACCCCATTCCCCCTACTACGGAATTTTGAGAAATTCGAGAAGATTTACTACAAATTTTGAGAATTGTGAGAAAGTTCCCTAAATTGGCGGTAGGCATTTAGAGAGGGTCGTACCTGAGGGGGAACTTTACGGAGAGGAGGAGGGGTCCTGACACCCCTACTTCACCAATCGCGATGCGTACACCGACCCCAAATCGGTTACGTGTCTACTTGAACCTCGCACCAAGATAATGTTAACAGTGAAGCCCCCTATTCCTTCCTTTCTTTCTCTTTCCTTCCACGCCCTTCCTTCTCTCTCCTCTCTTCCTTTTCCTTCTCCTTTCAAATGCCCAGCCAGTATATGCAATGGGAAAATACCCCGAACCCTCGCCCCCTGAGCTTCTGCGAACAAGGCGAGTTAAGATTAAAGCCCAGTAAAAACTAGGTATCTAAACCAAGCAGAGGCTCCAGCATTACCCTAAATTATCCAGCAGCATCAACCATGGTTTTCAACTCCCTATTTTTCTGTGGGGCGAGAACGTTACACTCGCTGCCATCAGACCTGCAGAAGGTGCCAAACTGACAGTGGGCTGTGCTTGCTCTCATTCATAGGGTGCACATTTAAAAAAATTGTAGCTTGGTTTCAGAGCATTCCACGGAAAAAAGTGGATTAAGGTCAGCAAAGGGTGGCCGATTGAGAAATGTGGGGCACACATTTTGTGAGCGGTGCCTGCCCGAGGTGGGCGTAGACAGACAAAAGTTCTGTAAAACACGGAAGTGAACAGTCAGCAGGAATCACCGTATGATGAGGCGCACTGTCGTTGTAGGCGGAGCGTGCGACTAGACGGTGGGCCAAAGAAAAATAGATTAGTTCCATAACAGACTCCAGGCACCGGCAAAGACGAGCAAAAATGTGCAGGAGCTCCGCTATTGAAGCGAGATTTACGCGCCCGTTCTATGCGTAGCTGCGCCGAGGTTGTGGGCGGGCGAAGGTCAAAAATTAACGAATTGTTGCAGAGCAGCATAGGCACCAGGGACAGGTGGATTGATGTCCACAAGGGGTCAGTGGACGAAGTGGAAGAGACATCTCAAAAATGGGGGCTGCTTTCGAGATGGGCAGGCTCTCGCTGAAAATTTTGTGGTTTGCATCTGACCAGGAAAGGTCAACAGGTCAGCCTGGCCATTTCCAAAGAGCTGCAAACCGTTGTACGCGTCTTGGGACAGTGAACTCAAATCTGTCTTCAGAATCTGCGGAACGAGTCTCTGAGCGGAGTTCTGGAAGGGTTTTTTCCGCATAGTTGTTTTACATGCTATCGCGAAAAAACGTGGAAGCGTCTTTACATTTGTGTATGAAGTCATGATGAAACGTGATGGTGGAGCGCAAAGGTAGGAAGCGGGTTTCTTAGGCGAGACGTCGTAGGATCGGTTCCGAGGCAGATCGTTTTTCTTTGCATTTGTCCAAGAACATAGCCGACAAAGCTTCTAACATCTCTGCTTCCCTGCACCACTCTATAAGGGAACCTGCGATCAGATTTTTTTCTGAAAGTGTAGACCCATTGTGGCCTAAAAAAGTGCTTGCTTGTACCCCTCGTAACATAGGTCACAAGGGTTTTTGCAATGAAATACCATCATATTCATATTCAGCGGATTAAATTACCCCTGGGGACAAGTTTCTAACCGAATCTGATTTTCCGACCTCACTTGGAAAATGTGAGCTATTCCATGGGTAATTAGCAGCAGATTGTAGCGCACCTACCATCGATGACTGGTCTCGGAATGGGATTTCCTCCCGACAGTCAAGAAAATGATGCAGACGGCACAAATAAGTGATCCAGGTACTGTTGTTTGCGAAAACACATGACTGAAGAGTTATTTCAGTTCGGAGACCAGTCATCACCAGTATGCTGGTCGTAGTATCGCTGTTGGCTACCAGCCAGTCCTGACTATCGATACCCCATTTAAAGTTGAAGTCAGAAACCTCAGTTTTTCGCCTAAGGTGACGTCCCTAGGGTTATTTGACCCCCTGAACATGAATATGATACCTATTTTGCCCGAACAGCACTGTGAGTCGCTCTCTACATCTGCCAACGCGTCGGCGCCAGCGCGCCCGTAAGGAGAAAAACAGTCAAGAAAAACCTCCATAAGTCCGCCTCAGAGAATCGTTCCGCAAATCCTGAATATAGTTTTGAGTTCACCGTCTCAAGACGGGTCCAACGATGGGCATCTCATTTCAAATGGCCAGGCTGACCAGTTGACCTTTTCTAGTGAGTGAGCTTGGAGATCAGCAAAAACTTTTAGGTGAAGAGAAACGATAAGGCGAGAGTTCAGCATGTCTGTGGTGTGTTGAGCGCTCGACCCGCCCACCGCGGGTGGAGCGTGTTCTCAAGCACGGGTGCCTTACTTTCACTGCGTTTTAGTGCATAAGCCGCCACACTCCTGAACATCTGTTGTCACACGTACATTTGATACCAGTCGGTTCGCTGGCTGACGTCGGCGCGACTCCTTTTCTAATATGGCCAGGTTTGTCGGATTTACTTACTTCGTCGCGCCCACCTGCTTGCGTGTGTTTGAATGCTCAACTAATACCCGGTTTCTCTCTCATCTGCGTCCTTGATCAACGCTGCTTATCACCACTCATAGACGGTAATAGTGTCGAAAATAGTAGGTATGATATTGTTGCTCAGGGAGCGTTGCCTATGTGTACAGGTGAAATAGAAGCCGCATAATTGTTCAGTATCTAGATTGAGTATCCAGTGTAGAAGGAGGTAGGGTAAGCGCGGCGAAGCTGCGCCCGCCCGGCGAAGCAGGGCCGTATCACGGAAGGAGGCGCGCCGGCGTCAGCTGGCGAACCGACTGGTGAATCAGATGGACAAGCTGTAGAAAAAGCTCTTCAAATGGGTAAACCACGTATGTGTAGGATAACATCCATCCATCGAAATCGATGAAAGTTCTGGGGAAACGTGGCGATTCAGACGTTTCACGAGCCTCGTTTCCCCTCTATCCACCCTAACTCACCACGGTACACCATTCATACATGGCTCTTTACCTGCTTGCTGCAAGCCCTGCACTCCTGCCTCAACTCGAACTCTAGCACGAGCTCCACGGAAAAC